CAAATTTAATGAGTATTCTCATTATTACATAAGCTATGCTCTTCTTTTTTTATGCATCTTTTATGCTATTTAAAATGTGTCACTGGTTATGCCATTAACGATTTAAAAGATAAGTAATTAGGAGAAAAGCAGCGCATATACAAACGGATTTAAAAAAATTATTCAACTTAAATTTAAGAAATAAAATTCTATTACATAACAGTGATAATACACGATTAGCACGAAATACGACAAATTTGGCGGTCTTTTGGCGACGAACAATTTGTAAACAAATCCGAACTGCAAGAATGTCGTAAAATACTGTCAACACTGAAATTTCCATGATTATATATTTAATGAATATATAAACATTTTAAATATGACTCAGGCAGTTATATATTACAACAAAACAGCAATAATTAAATCGGCTTTTATTTCCACCATCTTGACTTCACAGTGAGAGCCATATTGAAATTTACCCGTGATCTTTCAGAAGCAGAACTTTCATCTGATTGGTTGAACGTTCGAGGAACACGTCTCCAGCTGGAACATTTTCGGAAAAGTTTCAAAATGTTGCTCGTATTCGGGACATGTTCCTCCTAGCTAGACGAAACATTTCTCGGAAGCCTCCCGCTTAAAGCAGTGCTACTGGAATCTCGTTTCTCGGAATTGTCCTGCGTAGCCACGTGCGTTCCGTGAAATGATAGCCTCTTAAGTTTGCATTTTGAATTCGTTTTTCATTTACTTCACATTTTGTGAGAACTTAAGGACCTTTTGAGTCAGTAATATAAAAGCTTTGTGTTACTACTCGGCAAAGCGTAAGATATTTATTTTTTCAATTTAATCAGATAAGTCAATCATAAAAAGAAAGAAAAGTGTTGCCACTTGGCAAATTAACAAAATATTTGTCTTTTGAATATAATGAATAAACTCGGCAATCTGGAAAGAATGTGTTGCCACTAGCCAAATTGAAATATTTTTATTGTGCATTTGGCAGTGTGTTACTGTTCAGCAAAATGTAACATAACATTTAATCTTCCTTTCAAATTTATTCTGTTATTAATTAACAAACTAAATCATATAAATTTAGCAAGATGAGATATGGAAATTATAAAATTAAAAATACAAAACAGTGATTTATGAAATAATGATACACTTATGACTTTAAGAGAATTAAAATTTAAGAAAAGAGAGAGAGAGAGAGAGAGAGAGCTCAATATTTATTTGTATGTTTTGTTATGAATTTCCTTTGCTTTTGTGCTAATACCTTCTCTTTCATTCTACTGATGGGCATAGTTATTGTTCAGTAACAAAGTTGCACTGCTCAAATCCTGTATAACTTCTTCAGAGAAAATTGCTATTGAATTGTCAATCGAAATATTTTCATTCTCAAAACTCTCCATCACTTTCATCCCTATCGGTAATAATATTTTCTGGATTTAGAACCATACTTTAGATTTGGACGTCTGTTAGTAGACTGATGATTGGAGCTTAATCATCTGGTCCTCAAAAACTGTAATCCTGAAAGAGGTAGAGTCCTCTAGGCGAAAAAAGGGTAAGTTGGAGACTGGCTTTCAGCGGGAGAGGCCAAATGCTCTATGCTCAGTGTGATAATTTTATAAATTTAAACAATTCTATCAATTGATGTTTTTGTATATGTACAAAGTGTATATAATCTAAGTTGTGTGTTGTAAATAAATAAGATCAATCTGAGTTAATTACAAGCAAGATTCCAACACCGGCCACGGCTGGATCTTGCACATCGCAATGGAAAACTTCTACTGCATTTATTGCCACTTCTTTACATTTCTTCACAAATCCCATTAATTGAAAAATTTCATCCCTGCCAATACCAGAAAACATTTAAATTCACAGCTATCATCCTTAAGCTTAGCTGCAATCCTTTGTACACTACTGATGATGCTTCATCAGATTAGTAAATAACAACACGTTGTTCCGCATCATTTTTACTTCCTTGTACGAAGTAAAAAGGAAGTATTGTAATCGTGAAAAATTTTGCGTATCATATTTCAAAGAAAATATCGATTTTGATCACTATCCAAAGCAATTTAATGATGTTTTTGCATGATATCCACAAGTAAGGACAGAAAAAAGGACTCTTCCACCCAAAAAAAATTATATAACTGATTTAAAATAAATTTTAAGAGAATTTTTCGTGGCATCTGTGCGTACGTACATATCTTGCATAACTCAAAAACAAATAGCCTCAGAATATTGAAATTTTGTATGTACGACTGCTATAACATGTAGATGTGCACCTCGTATTTTGGCTGCAATCGGACACACCAAAAGTATACAAATTTATGTGTATATATATATATATATATATATATATATCCACTTTGTTACTCAGCTCAGTGAGCTCAGTTTCTTTATTCTTATATGTTTGCAAATTGTGCATTTTTTGCTTTAAAAATGATTGAATTGTGTTGTTCTTATCTTCCGGTTAAGGTTTTTATGCCTTTAGTAAATCTGCATGCAATATTTGGGGAATTATCAACAGTTTAAAAGTTGTTTAAGTGCAGCTATGCCTAATGAATTTTGCGATGGCAGAATGTTTGTTTACATTTCAAACTTGGCAAAATAGCAGACTTGTTTGCCAATCTAGAGAAACTAAGCTTCGCAACAACAAAGATAACGCCTTCTTTTAATATTGTGAATTAAATCATGCTTAATCTACTCTGGAATTTATTCGAGGAAATAAGTGTTTCAGATTCACTTCGTAATTTTTAATACAGATATTTCTAATTTTTATGTATTTTTGCCTTGTCAGGAAGTGAGAACTGAATTAATTGAATGAAAAATACTGAATCGTCTGTGAAAAATTGTTTCTTTTTTGGTTTATTTTGTTTGCTTAATTTCTTTTATACATCATTTTAGATTTATTATAGTATTTGAATAGAACATGTATTTGAATATTAGAAATCATCAGAGTTTGTTTTCGACAAGTTAAAGGTAAGATGTTTATTTATTGATATATTACTGATTATATTTATGATGTAAATGTTATCAATGATGATTACATCAATATGGCAAGGAATTCCTGAATAAATGAATATTAAGTGCCATGTTTCAGAATGCTTTGCTGTGGCATGTACGGCGATGCAATTTATCTGATGAACTTTTAATTGTTTTAAATTATCCTTAATGTGGCGTATTTACCAGGGCGGCTCATCTACCGGAAATTATGGTAACTTCTAACCCATTAACCCAACCATCAAAATAAGTCTGCAATTCATACATAAAATCTTCCCACCTATAGTTTGGCTTTTTTGTACACTTACAAATTTTTGTCTAAGGGCTTTTGAACTTAAATGATAATGATCTAACAAAACCAATTTGATTTGAGGGTTACCTCCTCTTGTTTCCTGAAGTATTATCTGCCCTTCTTCCATTGGCAAAACAGTCGTAATTGGAGTCGAATATTCAGCTTTTGATAAAGCTTGGTGCTTAAAAAAAGCTAAAAATAAGTTAATATCAGTTACCTTGATATTTTTCACTGAAGTACGTTTCACTGAAACTGAATGTCCGACAGAGTGAAAGTGAATTCCCTAGTACTATTTGCGGTTGTTATTCTTAACTTCTTTCTCCTCTACCTCTCTTTTCCTCTCACTAACAATCAAAAGCAGCCTTAAACTTTTCTGCTTCATAACTTTCCCTACTTAGAATTATATTCTTTAACTATGCATTTTTCATCCCCAGATTAAGACCCAAATCTTCAGTTAATTGCAAAACTTCTCGTGTTTGGCTCTCATTAAATGGACCATTTTAATAGTTCAAATAAGTTCTAGACTTCCTCTCAATTACTAAATTAAAATGCAATATTTCTAATATAGAATCTGTCTTAATATACAACATTAACACTTCATAATCACTCAAAATTATATAAAAACAACACTAGCCTACTATTCCTATATTCAAATCTACCACTTAACATCAATTCACACAATAAGACTTAATGCAATAATAGTATAAATATGAAATTTAACGTCTTACTGACATTAGATATAATTGACCATTAATATGAAATGTCATTCAAATAATCACAAAGAACAGCCCACTTAAAAACACATTTTTCTCTACCTTACTAAAATGATACATACATATATTTTAGTTAATAAATCGTTACTCCAATGAACCTATACCATAGATAATGACTACAAAAAATTTGCCGGTACTTACGTATTATCGCAACCAGGTTGGCGCGATTTGTAAGCTTGAGTAAAAAAGTATGAATAGAAAGAAATTGTACATTTATTAATTACAGATAATTTTTAATACAGTTTTTTATATTATTTTGTTTTAAAATATAAAATAGCAATTAAACCCTTCCGGTTTCGAATTTGAATAAGCTGCAGAATTATTTTTTCGGAGGAAATCTTTTCGCTATTGCTTTTAGCACTGATTGAAAACCGTATTCGCCATAACCATGTAAACGTCGACTTATTTTTACTGAAAAAACATCCCAGAATTGCACAAAAATGGCATTGCGCACACTCTAGACTTTATCCATGTACACTGCTATTTTGCATGTGGAGATTCACAAAATTTTCCTGCATTTTCGTGCAAATTTTTGTAATTTATGAGAAAATAGCAGTGTACATGGATAAAGTCAAGAGTGTGCGCAATGCCATTTTTGTGCAATTCTGGGATTTTTTTTAAGTAAAAATAAGTTGACATGTACATGGTTATGGCGAATACGGTTTTCAATCAGTGCTAAAAGCAATAGCGAAAAGATTTCCGCCAAAAAATAATTCTGCAACTTATTCAAATTCGAAACTGGAAGGGTTTAATTGCTAATAAATTACAAAAATTTGCACGAAAATTTTGTGAATCTCCACATGCTCTTTTTACAAAACTATGTATAACACGTAGGGGTTGCCGTAAGTAGGGTCGCCAAATTTGGCAATTTATGCGAATTTTAGCCTGGTTGCGTTAATACGTAAGTACCAATTTGCCATTTGATTCAAATACAATTTCAAAAAAAGTTTTAAACTCACTTTGTCACTACAGTCAAAAGCCGTTAATTCGGACACCCATAATCCGGACCTCAAAGCTACAAACTTTCTGCATATGCGTCGCTTTGATAAACGTGCTATACGAAAAAACATTTGTCTTAAATTCCAATTAGCACAGAAAACAATATACAGTCAAAAGTCGTTAATTCGGACATCCATAATCAGGAATGATCTATAATCCGGACCTCAAAGCTACAAACTTTCTGCGCATCTGTCGCGTTTAAGCATGCACGTAAGACCTTTACGGCTGCGAATATGAGTGTGCGCATGCACAAAATACATTAACGCATGCGTGTTTAATGTATAATGGACGGTATAAGCTAAGCTAAAATTATCTAATTCAGTTAATGTTGCAGATTGCGTTGTTCCTTAATCTTCGAATTGGATCCGGCTTATTATTTTTTGCAGACTGTTACAGCAATTTTATAAAAGTGAGCTTGAACTTTCGATTATGTAAAATAGAATTTCCGATATATATTTACTAATATGTAAAGGATCTACAAAGCGAAAGTATGTTTCGAAGTCCATTAAACAAAAGTGGAATTGCTGCAAAAAATGACCTAACCATTTCGAAATCTGTTTATCAATTTCACGCTGCTCTGGGGGGGAACGCCGCAGCGCGCAATGAATTGGAAGTTGATCTGTCAGCACTATCCATATCTTCAGGGAGGATGTTTTCATTTTATTTGGCTTACAATTCCTTACTAAATGTAGTATTTCATCTCGATGTATTCCGTCTTTGATATGATTTAAATCAAATTTCTCGTCATTATAATTTGCTTCCAATAGTGAAGAAAGTGACACATAGGTTATTGAAAATGAAAAAATTTCGATTGACAAATTAGTCGGTATTCTCGACACAAAAATTATAGGACTTGAACAGCGGAACTTTGTAACTGAACAAGAAATTATGTCTGTTTATAGAATTAAAGAGAAAGTATTATCACATAAAACGAAGCAACTTAAACAACTTACATTGAAAGAAATGTTTAATAAAGTAAACAAATAAATATTAAGCTTTTTTTTTTTTTTTTTTTTTTTTTTTTTTTTGTAAATTTTGATACCCTTTAGATCATAATTGTTCTTTATTTCATAAATTACGGTTTCATATTTTTAATTTTATAATTTCTGCATGCCATCTTACCAGATTTAAACTGATGAACTATAATCCGGGAAAAATTGATAATCCAGAATCGCTGAAGTCCCGACGAGTCTGGATTAATGACTTTTGACTGCAATTTATTAGAGTGGCATCAGTTAAAAATTAAGATAAAATAAGAAAGCAATGCTACAACAACACGCAAAATATCGAGGCTCAAGAATTTGACGTTTTAAATACCGTGGCTGGAGATTTCCAGTTTTCATTTGAAATATCATCCCACGTTATTTTTTTTTGTCTTATTTCACCATTTTTTTTAGTACTAGGGACTACACAATTTGAAAATTACTTAATGATGAAGAGGTTGCCATAAGATTCCTTGGAGAAAGGAATAATTCACGGCAATTGAGTTTGTTCTCAAAATCACTCAATGAAGTTAACTTTTGGTTCAAACAAAGCTCCTATATGGCTTTGTTACGTAAGTTCTGTTGTGGAAAAAGAAAAAAAAAAAAAAAAAGGTTGAGAACCAAAACATGGTTTGAAGGCTTGAGTCTATATTTTCTCTTTGTTTTATCTATCTGTGGTGGCAAGAAATGACGTCAATTGAATTTTGCCAACTTCAGACAAAAAATCAACCATAATATGACAATAGATTGGAATAACTAACTGAGGAAGGTATGTGCAAATAGCTTGATGTCTTGTAAAAGTAATAAAATCAGTGGAAACAGCAAAATCATAGAAACAGACGAATGTCTTTTCACAAAAAGAAAAAAAACACATTGAATGTATTCTTCTGGAACAATGGCTATTCAGGAGTTTATGCCAGCAAAGCATATTTTCTGGTCACCATTCCAGATCATTGTGCTACAACATTGATGACAGCCATTCAGGAAAACAACACACATGGTAACATTATATTGTTACGAATTTGGTATTTAATTGAACTAATATTAGCTTTTTAAATACCAAATTCGTAACACTGCCCCCTTCCCAAGGACTGCACGTCCCGGGCAGTACAATCCGTGGACAGGAAGCTAAATTTACAACTGTGGCATAAATGCAACTGAGGCATAAACATTACATTACAATATCAAACAATATAAACAATAAATGCAATAACTAACTTGAACAAATCAAATGCTATCAAATACTAAATACAAAACAAATACTAAATACAAATCAAATACTAAATGCAAATCAAATACTAAATACAAATCAAATCAAATACACATTTATAAACAAAAAGGACCATGGTCTTATACTATTTACAATTATTTACATTATGTATACTATGGCCATAGTAATGAGCTAACCTAACCTGTCGTAAGAACGACTTAGGATCAGAGTTCGAAGACTTACGATCCGAACCACAATGTCATTCAGCCTGTTTAGGACTGTGTGGTGACCATCCCAAGGTGACTGTAATTTAGGCCTGAGTCCTTTTCGTTTCGAATCGGGTTTCCACAACCACACCTTGTCTCCTTTGTTGGATCTATGTCCAGTAGCTCTCGTGTTCTATCTGGTCTTCACTTTCTCCGTCGCCAAGTTCACTCGCTTTCGTGCAGGAACGGTGCATTCCCTTCAAACCGGGCCTGGACATCTTGGATGTGTTCCTCAGGCGATGAAGGCGCATCCGTATGGCGATCAAACAGGCGGTCATACAGGCAGACGAAGGTCTCGACCGAAGAGCTTCTGAGATGGAGAATAGCTGGTAGTCTTGCGTTTCGTTTTGACCCTAGCATGATTTCGGCGGCTTCCCGAGCTAGGTCTTTCGGACAAGGCGTTCGGCATTTCCAGGTGAGGATCTCTCTCTGATGATGGATAGTCATGTCACCAGAATGCTGAAAGCAGTTTTGTTGTTTTTGAAGTCTAAGGAAAAATTGTCCAATCCGATTAAAAAGTCCAATCCGAGTATGCATGGATCTGTAATATTCCGCCACATAAGCCGCGTGGTGGTAGGCGGCACTTCCAAAAGTGATGCTTCACGTATAACTTCCCAGCTATCTCAATCTTGTCACCAGACACAGTCTGAAGGGTAACACAGGATGGCGTCCAAATAAGTTTATCTTTAAACTGTTGAGCTAAATCTTTCCTAATGATGGTAACATTAGCTCCTGTGTCAAGGATCATATTGCAAGGAACTCCATCGATATTCCCATTAATGGACATTCCGTTACTGTTGCCACTCACTATAGAGATCTTAAGCGCTTTAAAACAGGGTTTCTCATTATTTGGCAACCTCCGTTCCTTGATATGGTCATTAATTTGTTTCCTGCGTCGTTGCTCAGAATTGTCTCAATTTTCTTACCCTGGGGTGTTCTGCAATTCTTTCGTACGTGGCCTTCAGCTCCACAGTTCCAGCACTTGGGTTTCTTGTCAGTCCTTTTCCTTCCCGTGGCATTTAATTGTCTGTTTAAATCGTATGCTTTATTTTCCGTGCTCTGGGGAGTTCTGCAGTTCCTTCGTAGGTGGCCTTCAACACCGCAATTCCAGCACTTAGGGTCGGTTTGTTTTCACACCACTATCCGTCTTAAAGCATTCACTGGTCTTGTCAACTCATCATCCGTTTTATTATCCGTGCCCTGGGGGTGTTCTGCAATGCCGTCGTAGGTGACCTTCAGAACCACATCTCCAGCATCTTACAGCCACTTTGTCTCACTGCTACTCCGTATCAAAGCATCGACTTAATCTGGCTAAATCAGCTCTGAACGATCTCTCAAGAGCACACTCATTGGGGTAGCCTCGACTTATGGCGTTGCGGAGCTTTTTTCTCTTTTTTTCAAGTTATCCGCGGATGCCATCGGATGCCATGAAATATTGCAGGGACAGGATTTCCCTTGTTTCTGTCGGGCACTCCGAAAAGGCGTGATGTGACAGCCTTTTTCAACATCCGTGGCGAGCTCCTGAAGTGATTCAGTGGGCTTCTGTTGACGGATTTTAATGAAGCCTGCTGTAGTCTTTTAAAACATTTCTCGCCAAAGCGCAGCTCCAAAGCGCCGGACAGAGCTTCGAAATCTAACCTTTGTTTTCGGGAAGAGTCTGAAGGATATCCGCTGCGTCGGCTCTTAAGAAGCGGCGAGATGACAGGCCTTAGCTTGGGAATCCCATCCATTCGCATCCGCAACGATAGAAAACTGGGTCTTGTACACTTGCCAGGAGTCTTCCCATCATATGTGGATAGCTTCAGAAATGGGACGAGCAGGCATCGGTAAGAATTTAAAATCATCATTCTTGCTCTGCTCCCTGCCGAATTTTCTTTAAAGTTTCCATTTCTTTGGCAACTGCAGAAACTCTCTCATCAATTTGTTGTTCGACTTGGTGTTGGACGGACAACTCTTCCTTCAATTCGTTCCTCCCAGCCGAAACTCTCCTTCTTATGTTCTTTTAGAGAAGAAACTTTTTCTATTTCTTCTTTCACCGAAGAAACTCTTTCTTTCAATCTTTTCGAAAGAAACTTTTTCTTCAATTGCCCAACTTTTTTCAACTGTGTCAATTCTGCCTTCCATAGCTTCAAATTTATTTTCTATTATCAGGTAATTTCTCTTTTTCATTTTCTTGATGCTTCAATCTTTTCTTGACCAGCTTGAACGGCTGTCATTTCGTCCTTAACGGATTCCGGGCCCAATTTCATTTCTTCCTTAACGGATTCCTGGCCCAATTTCATTTCTTCCTTAACGGATTTGACGGCCCCTTCCATCTTTCTTGGAATGCAGCAAGCAGTCATCATCATTCCTCAATTGTTCTTCCATCGCTCTTGTTATTGGCATTCAAATCCCACTTCTGACACCAAAAATTGTTGCGTGCGTACGGGTTCTTTTGAAAGAATGCACAAGTCGATGAAAAATGAACAAAATTTTACGAATGTGTTTACGAATTTGGTATTAAAAAGCTAATATTAGTTCAATTATAAATTAATTGGTTTTATTTCTCGCGCAGTGCAGCTCGTGAGAATTAAAAAGAAAGCTAAGCCGGAAAATTGAAAATACAAGAGCGCGTGCATTAAATAAATAAATATCTCTTTTTGATTTCGAGAAAGTACTGGAAATTTAGCGCGTGATTTTAAAATCTTATAAAAGGAGGAAACATCTCAGTTTGTAGGAGTTGCTTGTTTGTGTTGTTTAGAAAACTACTCTTGTTGATTGTAGCGAATTCGCGGATTTAGCGTTCTTTAGCTGTTTTGAATTACGTTCTATTGGACATTTGAGTAGTTAAAGATAAACTACTACTGTGAGATATTGTAATACTGCATGATAATTTGAGAAAATTTAAGCATTTTTGTTGTGATAATAATAAATTTTTGTTCATTTTTCATCGGACTTGTGCATTCATTTCATAACGAACCCATACGCACGCAACAATATTTTCAAATTACTGAAAAGGATATAGGAAAGAGGAATTACGAAATGCTGAGTATGAAATTTTCAATGTGAATTATAATTTTGTAGATCCCGAAACCAGAGGCCATACTGTGGAATAATTGAGGAGCAGTCCTAAATGGAGAAATAAATGTCAGCGGGAAAATGCTCATCATCATTTCGTCATATTTGATAGAATTTAAGTGGTGTTGGTCATATTCAAAAACTGAAACTTTTTCTACAATATTGAATAATTGTAATTTTAGGTCACGTATTTCGATTGAATTTTTTTTTTTTTTTTTTTTTATTTTTTTATTTATGTGCAGAATATTCTACATTAAAAAGATAAAAAGGAAATAAGATTCACAAAGGAGCTCAAATGCTCTGCCTTCTTCGGTAACACAAGCATCACATTTTAGTGCAATACATCTGGTACATACCTTCAACGTTGAATTCCTTCTTTCGTGGTAAGACTATCAGAGGGAAACTTCTAGCTGCTTCTAGCTTCTAGCTGTCATCAATTAAAGGATTTTCGTCAAGCAGCTTTGTCAAAGCACTGGAACTGCTGGGTCTAGAAGTCTCTACACAATCTTAAGGTGGTTAGTGACACGATCACTGCCTCTACTTATCTGTAATATCATAGACTATCATGAAAATCAGCACTGTAAAGTTAAAGGCATGAAAGTCTTCATTTCTGGATTAAAATAAAACTCATAAAAGAACATATTTAACACACTGTTACAGTTCATCAGGAACTTGCTTTTCACGAGGCTAACAATTCCATCCAGAAGCAAAAAAATACTTTGTTTCATTTTATATTTGTACATACTGAAATGTCCAATAAGCGACCTTGTGACCTAATTAACCATATGCATGTTAGTTAGGTCACTGTGTGTGGTTAGCCTAACTAACCATATGCATGTAGTACTACAAAATTCACTGTCTTTATAGTACTACAATAAAATTAAGAAGATTGACCTTGTGAGGTTTATCTATTTATTTTTAACTAATACAGTAGAAGTTCAAAAATCTGCAAAGCTTGCGACCAGAGGTTGTGCGGATTTTAGGATTTTGTGGATTTCAGGACAGAAAAGATAAAGCATAATATTCAGACTAAAAGTGCAAAATAAATAAGGTGTATTAGATACATTTATTAAATTATGATACACACTTGAAATAATTATTATAGCATTAAATTATTATCCATTATAATGATTATATTCTATGTATATATGTACAAGCATAGGAGGTGTTTGCGTTCGCATCAAGCAAAGATTTCTGGTTCGGATCGTGTTAAAATCACTGTTGCTGAAATTTCAACAGCTTTTCTTTATTTTCGTATATATACACAATCCTGTACAACCATATGATTTGCTAGAAACGAGGTGGGACCGACCTCCATCTTTGCAGAATTTGCAATTTTTGCATTCCACTAGCATGTGTTAGGTTTTCAACGTTGCAAGCAGTTAAATCTGAGTGCGTTCTTATCGTCATGTATTAAAAAGGGCTGAAATTAAAATATTTTATTTATCCAAAAATTCAGGATTAAAAAAAAAGGCACAAAAAGCAAGCATCTCGTGAAAACAAAGCCAAAATAAAGAACGTGAAAAAGGTTGAGCAAATATCTGCTTTTTTACCTCTGTGAGATAGAAGGGGAAAAAAACTTTATCATGATGTCAATATTTGGTCTTTTCGTTTGAATCATTATTTTTCTATCGTTATTTTAAACTTCATTATTCTAAGTATTTGGGCTTCGATATTTTGTACTCAATGTTGCGGTTTCCGGAACCTATAAACTGAACGTTTATATTTTGAGAGGCAACGCGGATTTCAGATCGCCTGATTTTCGGCATTTGACTGTAGTTAATTTTTAGTACTTTCCTATCACTGTCTTTGCATTCACACTTTTCATGACAGAATGTAAATGAGATAGTAAGCGTTTATTCAGATTAAGGTAATAAGAAGTGCTATTTAAGCAAGAGTTTCAGAAGTTAGTGTTAGAGCGCTAGTTAGTGTTAAACATTTTTCGAACGATTTTAATTTCAAATAAACACGTATAAAGCATTTTTAAACAAAACTCTTAAAACATTTAAACATGTCTTAAGCAGTTAAAGTGTTAACAGCATGCATAAAACTGTTTAAAATTATTTGAACTAGAGTAAGTATACTGCCATTGCCACATAAATTCACAAAAGTAACTATTAAAAATAATCACCTTAGTACTGAACTGTCAGTGGCGGTTCTTCTGAAAATCCCTTTTATATCCCACATACTTTGGATAGTGTTAATATGAGCTTTGGATTTCAGATCCTTAATTGTCATTGCGTGATTTTCTGAGAGATGAACGAAGCCATTTAAACCTTCATTTACACACTAGCCAATACTTTCTTTCCTATTCGTTCCAAGTCATACAGAAACTTGGTTGTCATAGCATCAGCAGTCATTTTATGGTGTAAAGCACAAAATAAACAACGTACTTTCTAGCTGACATCACAAGCCCCGAGAATTATCCATCCAAATCCAAATTCAGCGCAATCATGCATTGCAGCCAATCACATCATGAGAGGATTTTTAAAACATTCACTGTAAAATACTCAAGTTACCATAAATGAAACAACAGCTTGGCGATAATTTAAGGGTATCCTAAAATAAAGGATACCCCGGTGATAGTTTCATGGTTGTCGCAATATGAAAGAAAACAAGAAAAGTACTGAAATTGTTTCAAATGACCAATAATTTAACTTTTTTAGTTGTTCACATGTTACAGTAAAACAACAGAAACGAGGCCCTATGGTTCCAATCAATTTCTATCTTTTGTGAAGATAGCAATCTTGGACTAGATTACTGAGAACGGCAGAGGCCATTAGAAATATCTACCAAAGAGATATGATGTCTTCACAGAAAACTTTCTAATGAAATTAATTTATGTTAACTTTACACATGGGGAAAAAACCACAGAAGTGACCATGCAGTTAACTTGGCCACTGAAGACCTTACAGTTTAGCTACTCAGCCACTAATAGCCTCTAGTGATTTCTTAAACACTCTTTACAGGACCTATAATTAAACTAAATATGATATTTAAAGAATATGACTACTGACAATTTTCAATATCAATGTTCGTTTATATTCTTAGAAGTACTGGCAACTATTAGAGGAACTTAGAACACACTACCCAATACTTGTAATGGAAATTTGGCTAATCTTAGGAATATGGTAACAGGTAGTTTGCCGACATTTTGGTAAGGCGATAAAGGTTACTAGCTAGGACTTTAGCAGTGTACCTGGATAAAGTCAAGAGTGTGCGCAATGCCATTTTGTGCAATTTTGGGATTTTTTTAAGTGAAAAGGGACGGGTACAGGAGACATTTATGTGCATTCTAAAACGCGGAAAGCAGTGGTCGATTCTGCACTTCTTCCCAATTCGCACCTAATCTCGCTTATAAAAGTGGCGAAGAGAGAATTCGAGCAAAGCGGGGGGCGTAGGCAATTGTTGGAAAAATGTTGATTAAAAAAAAAAGATGCCTTTTCTTTGTGAAAACAAAATGGCATCCAAAAACAAACTAGCAGGTTGCTGTAGCAGAGTTAATCGCCAAAAATCGCCAAGTTACCATTATCCAAAGATTAACCAGAAATTTAAACAGCATTATTACAATTATTCCCAGCAAGTTGAGTTAAATCATTAATTGTATATGAATCTTGACTATGGAAAAATTTTGCTTCCTTTTGCTCCCTCATCATCATCATAGGTGCCTACATAGCCCTTTTGGCCAGTGCCTTCCTTTGAAGATTTCTCCATAATGATTCTCTGGTTATCTTCGACATCCAGTTCCTCTCATTAAATGTCAAAAAACGAACTCCACCAAACCAGTCCTTCTCAGCCATAGTCTTCCGTGTTTCCAGATTCCAAATGAGTTTAAAATGCAGTACATTTTTTTATAAGACTGTCATTTCACATTCAGACCACATGAGCTATCGACTTCATTCTGTTAATTTTTATATCTTTTAATCGCCACCTTTTAATCTATTGCCAGGTTGTTGTTTTATTTATGGCAACCTGAGCAGTTGAATGTTATGGAAACCCTATTATCATATAATCGGTTGCAGTAAATTTTGAATGATGGGAAAGATTTGTAAGGGCTTGATGTGTGTGTTGGTTAGGAAATACATTGCTTGTTTTGTGGTTTAGACGGTAAAATGGCTCAGTGTGGTAAGATTAATTTGAAGTTTCTGTACGATTTGGAACGAAAGGGGGACAAGAGCATTAATTGACTGGTGTGTAAATGAAGGCTTACTTAGTAGCCATTATAAGAGTCCTGTTGGTAGGAAGAAATTTGCGTATGGTTAAAAGTCAGAAGATACTGGTACTACGGTGGATATTTTTTACTCTTATTCTTTTTAATTTATGTAGCGACGTCGATATATGGATTCTAATTTTAGGAAGTTTGGGGATGCTGTTAAGGAATTTTGTGTGCCACAGACTGAAGACGTACACATTTCTAAATAAGGTAAATGGAAATTTGCTTGAAGTAGTGCTTAGATGCATAAGAGGTTTTTCCTTTTTTATGTTATTTTATTGTTCGATTTAAAATGTAGTTTATGGAGATTATGTAGTTTTTGTTCGGCTCCAGCAGAATTGGGTGCCCCTTTGACTTTTTAAGTGAAAATAGATCAATGTGTACATGGACAAAGTCAAGAAAGTGCTAAGTTTGTGCAATTCTCAGTACTTACGTATTATCGCAACCAGGTTGGCGCAATTT